AGGTTGTTATAATTCAAGTGTTGAAGTCAGGAGCCCGCCTGGAGAACAGAGGCATACATTTCAAGTTTCAGAAGTTAGGAGCCCGCCTGAAGAGCAGGGTTATTACAATTCAAGTTTTAATTTTCAAATTCTTATCAATATCTGGTAGTATGATGCTCAGCCACCAAACGGGGGCAAGAGATTTTCTTTGTTGTATCTATTTTGTTGAAGTCAGGAGCCTGCCTGGAGAACAGAGGAATATATTTCAAGTTTTGAAGTCAGGAGCCCGCCTGGAGAACAGAGGAATACAATTCAAGTGTTGAAGTCAGGAGCCCGCCTGGAGAACAGAGGCATACATTTCAAGTTTCAGAAGTCAGGAGCCCGCCTGNATTTCACCTGAATCTATGTCAAACAATTTTGACATGCTTGTTTTCTGCACATATTGGAGCAAATGTTACTTTAGCAGTAATGTACCGCAGATGTATCCACAATAGCTCTCCTATTGAAGATGGTTTTCCACAATATATTTTGTTCATAATCCATAGCCCGCATATAACTAATTTTAATCCTTTAGAAATTGAGGCGTGCCATTAGTTGAATTTTCCATGGCCCTCGCAAATTTGAAAGTGCGTAGTTGCTTTAGGCGCGTTATTTTAATAATTTATCTTCCTAAACTCGGGTGCGCATTTATGTGACCCAAATCTAAATCTCAACAATGTTGGATAAAATACGTCACGGACCGCGGGTGCATTTATGTGACGGGGTTCAAGACGTGTTTTAGATGACGTTGAATTTTTCTTAAAAAATTAAATAAAGAAAAGCGGTTTAAGTTAAAATTTGCACATAGGTTTAAACATGTACTAAAATCAGATAATAGGCCAATTATAACAGTTGAGCGACCGTGCTAGAATCACGGAACTCGGGAATGCCTAACACCTTCTCCCGGGTTAACAGAATTCCTTACCCGGATTTCTGTGTTCGCAGACTGTAATACAGAGTCAATCTTTTCCTCGATTCGGGATTTGAACCGGTGACTTGGGACACCATTAATTATCCCAAGTGGCGACTCTGAATTTTAATTAAAATAATCCCGTTTCGATTGTCACTTAAATTGGAAAAAACTCCCTTTATTATACCCTCCCCGGGGTGTAGGTGAAAAAGGAGGTGTGACAACCACTATAGAGTTAACAAGGGGAATCTCTTCGTCATCAACAGTGCCCTTTCTTCCTCTCTTTTGCTTCTGTGATTATAGCGCAAATCTGTCTTAGATGTAAGCTTATCATTTATATTTGATGTACGATAATTACATTAAGAAATATTACACATTCTTGTTCTTCTTTGATTTCGTACTCAGTATATTTGAATCTAGAATTAATTATATTTAATTAAAATTTACCTTCTATATCTCTGATAATTAATTCGACAAAAGAATTTTATACTTTTTGGTCAAACAACTTCCTCCCTAGTTAGCTTTCATTGCCAAAGTATAGATATATGGTCATACGTTTTAAATTAGAATGATCACGAAAACCAACTTGTGACATCAAAAGTATAGCTTCAAATTAGTATTTACAAATTCTATTTGTTCTTTCTTGGATTTGGACGTATAATTTTGAACCGACAACCCTGTATTCGATAACTAATCGCATTCTTGTGTTGGGTATTCTTTTTCTTCTTCTTTTCTTTAAAGAAAAAAATATTATGGTACTTTAAATTAGAGGATTTTGGTAGGATCCTAGCTTCTAAGTTCTATAATAACAAAAAACCCTTTAGTTTGTAACATGTATATACATATGTAGATATTATCTTCAATTCATTTTAAATATCGTTTAAGATTATGACATACTCGATAACAAAACTATTTAAAGGTATTGATCATTAAGATCATTTAAATAAATTATACTCTACTTTCCTGTAAATAAAAATAACTGTTGAAATATTTTCTAAAAAAAATTATGGGTCATTTATTGAACCGAGAGTAGATTTGAAAGAAGAAGAAAAATGTCTTTTTGGTTTTTTAAAGTGAAATTTATTTTGGACAAAATTTATTTGACTAAAACTAGAGTTAAAATGGACTGATAGTATTTAATTAAATACTTCGATATTCATAGCCAGTGCACTTTTATTTGTTGCTTTCGTTCAAATAAAAAAAAAGTTTATAGATCAAGTTTAAGGGCACGTACGTTAACTAATACATCAAAATCTACACAACTGAAAGAGTTTCAGCTTTGCCTCATGCTCAACTGTGGGGAGATATTTCTATAAATCCTAGTCCTTTTGCATATATCACCTACGTATCTTTAAACAATTTTAAATTTCTAAGAAATTATTGTGTTGCATTCATCAAAATCTTAGATGATATATACGAGCCTAATGACTTAGTTGTAGCAAAAACAAAAGTGTGACTAAAAATGGAGGGTGAGTTGCACAAATAAGATAGTTTTGCACATCCAATGGTTACTACGGATCTTGCTAGAATTAGGTTTAGCATTGTAATTACCTCCCTTCTTATTATCCACTTTAGCTTTGCCTTTATGAACATTAGCTTTGGGAACTTGCTTAGCTTCCCTAGCTTTGTCCCAATTGGTTGATGATTTCCAAGTATCTTTACCTTTGCTCCAAGAAGTTGGATGACTTCTAGACTTTCTATCCTTGAGTTGTTCTTCAATCTTGATGGCCTTTGCATATGCTTCATCTGAAGATTCAACAACAATAACAAACATAGTACAGTCCCGCAAATGGTGAAATCTGCATCTTTATCTGAGGATTCAGATGAGAATAAATTCCAAGTATTAGCAATCTGCATATTCAAGCCGTATATGATCGCAAGTTGGTCAGTCTCTTCAATATTCGCTCTCATTCTTGTTGCAAGGTGTACCGCTTCTTGAGGATGTCCTTTCGGAAATAATCTGGAACAAATCTAGCCTTCATGAACCTCTTCATCTCGTCACTGTTACCAATAGGATCAAGACTCTGTCTTAGTCTTTTCCTTGTAATCCTTTTTCAATAAGTGGATGTTGTTGGAAGAAAAGAAATGGGTATATCAAAAGGGAGAGTGTCCCTTAAAGATTGGGAGGAGCTCCTTCTTTCACTTTACAATTGTTCTTTAGTGGACTAGTAAAGAGTAAGATAAGGTTCAAAGCCTTTTGAGCTCTGACTTTTTTCCATTACAGTATGAAAAATGAGATACAATTTCCTGCAAGTTCCCTATCCAAAAACTTAAGATATACAAAAGCTCGGCATCCCTCCTGTAATAAGCAGGAACAAGAATTCTTAAGCATGAAAGGCAACAACCCCTCTCTACATTAGATCAAGATGTATATAGGTACCTTCCTCATAAATGAGTTTAAACAACGAATTGCACAACTATGGCTGAGCAAATTTATTTCAATAAGTTTTCACGTGCCAGGAATATATTCATACAGGTTACAATACTATTTTACTGGAAGAAAAAAAACTGAACAATAGCAGACGGAGAAGTACAAAGCCACAACATGTGGCTTTAAATTGAATAAAAACCTAAAATTGCCCAATACATGGCGCACAATTTTACATTGATGTAAATGCACTAAAGATAGGTCCCGCCTTACCCATGAGTGACAAAGAGGCAAAAAGGAGATATCTCCTCTAAACAGTAAAACTCCTAAGGTGTTGATGAAATTACACTCTTCAAATAAAGAAACTTGAAGACCTTCAACAAGTTGTCTGAAGGTACAAAAGCTGCTCAGCTCCATTCAGAGGGTAACCTCAGCTGACTCGGGTGTTGATGACTGCAAAGGTTCCTGCAATGCAGGATTAATTGGGAACAGCATACACTGTGCATAATGAGCCATTAGCTGATCCACAAGCGCCAGGGCTACCATTGCTTCAACCATTGGAACAGCTGTAGCATCACAACATCAAAGCTAATTGTCATTTTTTAGGGGAAAAAGGAAATAGAACAGAAAGAAGAGCAGGTTTGGAAGTGGGAAGATAGCAGATCTCCTTTCTCGTTATGTTATCAATAAGTTATAACCAGGCAAGTCTCAATGGCTTCTAAGACTAGCCAAGGTTATAGTAGAGATGCAGAGAGGCTATCAAAACAAGGAATAGCAGGCAACTATAATTTCAGAGACAAACCTCGGGGAACTACACAAGGATCATGGCGACCCCTAGCAATGAGTTCTGTGTCATGTTTATCTCGCGTCACAGTTTGCTGCTTCCTCTGCATGAGAATTGAAATAAGATAATTAAACTGATTTACATATAGCCCTGAAATAAATAATTGACCTAGTCAAATAATAGAGTTTCAACTTATGAAATAACTACTATTTCTTGCGAGAAAATGACAAACAAGAAGTTCAGCTTGACAAAAACATATAGTAGTTCAACTCCAAATAAACAACGAAGCCAAGGTGCTGGAGCAGTATAATAACATCATTTTACACCAGGAAGGACGAAAAAGAAATAAATGGATGGAAGACACAGAGTCAGAGTACTTACAGCAATAGTTGAAGTTGGCTTGAAAGCTATTTTCATATTGATAACTTCTCCATTTGATATACCGCCCTGTAAATTAAAGCCATAATTATAATTTGCTCCTCTAAATAGACATACCAAAAGAATACTGCACAAAGTGTACCTGGATACCACCAGATCTGTTGGTTCTTGTCCTGATTCGGCCATGCTCATCCATATAGAATTCGTCATTATGCTCGCTACCAGTCATGAATGTGCCTTTAATTTTCACCAGAAGCAAATTTATACTTATATNATTATATGTCCATCAGAGAAAGTAGCACCTAAGAACGTTTGTAACAAGAAGTGTAACAACATATTCGGTGAAATACCACAAGTGGGGTCTGGGAAGGGTACTATTTGCGCAGACCTTACCCCTACTTTAGGAAGGTAGAGAGAGTTTATTTGCGATGGACCCTCGGCTCATGAATAGTGAAAAAAAAAAGCAATAAACAGACAGTAGCAACAACAACAAGATAATAGCACAACGGAAACTGATGGTCCAGTGTGCATTAACAATGATCTAGGAATGCAAAAGTACAAGAATGGTACCAATACTACCGGTAAGAAAGATACACTGTGTAATAACAAGGAAGAGCCAGGACTAGGAAAATACAAAACTAGTAATACTATTGATAGAATTAGAAGAAACTCTCGACTACCTGTCAACCCACAACATTAATTCTCGACCTCCACACCTTCCTATCTTCCTATCGAGAGTCATTCCTCGATAAGCAGAAGGGTAGGACGGTTAGGCATACCTCACGGGACAAACCCTTCTGCACACAAAAGTCTAGTAATTAACTGGAGAAGGGTAGGACGGTTTTATTATCCAACGAGTTTCGAACCATGCGCCACTAGCCCTCGGGGATTTCTCGGTTATCAAAACATTATTTGACGCTTTGACAGAACTGCTAAATGGTTAGTACTGTGCTCCTAGTATTATAAAAAATCTTGAAGGTATTTGGAAAGGTTGCAAAATTCACTCATTTTAAGAAAGTTTCGAGGAATCTATATCTGCTTAGGACTCATGGAGAATGCTTTGACTAAACATACCCAAGGGTTTCAGTGAAAAAGTTAAACTACATCTTGACATACCCAAGGGTTTCAGTGAAAAAGTTAAACTACATCTTGTAGAAACAGGGAAGTAAAGATGATATACCTCCGAAGCCACTTCCAAACTCAAAACCCTTTGTTGCAGGTAATGACATGCAAGCTTTAGCTAGCTCAGCTTCAAGTTTATCGAAGACTGGTGTACCAAGACCCTAGTAAACATTAATAAACTCTCAGGCACCTCTTTGAAAATTAGACACGAAATTTTGTGTGGAAGTTACCAAAGAGGTGCAAATATACGTATTACACCTACAAATAAAAGGAGAGATAGCTTACCCGTGGGACATTTCTAACAATGCAAGTTACAACTCCACCAACAGAGTCCCCTCTCACTCGTACAGCATCAATAGCAGCAATCATCTTCTCTGCATATTCTGGATCTGGGCATCGGACAATATTGCTTTCTATCTGGTATAAATAGATAATTACCAGAAACAATTACTAGCTTGATCAGCATGAAAAACATCAAACAATCAAGTACATCAGACATGCAGGAGAATAATCTCAGTTAACTCGGAAGCTCATAAAATGACTATTATTGGTGAGCAAGGAAGCCATAGATAGAAGCACAAAAAGTTTCTCCAATTTTTTGCCTAATAACCCAGAAACATAGTGGCCTTCATGTGCTAAAGCAGTCTGTCTCAGCTAAAAGGGCTAGTGTCCACCATCGCATGCACAAACCTATACCATTACCCTAAGTAGCATTGGCAGCTGCTACAATCTCATGTCAGTTACTGACTGGATGAGGAATCATTTATTTTCTTGTATCTAGCTTTAATGTAGCCTTGAGTGACAAAAAGGGTTAGAAGACAAACTTTGACGAAAGAAAGTCCCAGCCTAGAGAAACCCTCGAGTCTCTACAAACTCATGATTAAACAAAACCTCGTCAAATTAGCTGAGCCAAATGCCCTTTCACTAGACAAGTAGTAGAGTCTCCTCCTCTTTCTTTACCCCAAGGATTGGTCAAACAGAGGGAAACAAGACCAGATCCTATGGAAGAAACCTTTCCCTCTTCCCCAAAGAAAGGTCTTTGATGAAATGGAGATGAGTATAAGCCAATTTTACATTGGACTCCGATATAGTGACAAAGCTAAACTGGCAAGGAGAATTGAGTGTCGCGCACAAAAATAACACATTGATCAGTGTTACCCATCGTGTCTAATTGGTGAACGCATCCAACTTGACTTTCACTATAGAAAGCAAGTTACTGGTTGCAACACTATTACCTAACCATGGATATGCTTGATTGCACTCAAGGATCATGTTCCTTTATATTAGGTCATAACATGAAATAGACTGGTCATTATCCTATAATACCAACAGCGTTGACTTTGTTGGTATACCAATAAGGCAATAACATAATTTCAAGAGAAAGACATGGATGCTTCAAGTGTGTCCTTCTTAGTGCTGGATGATCCGCCCACTCTATGGGTGGAAAGGTATGAAGAGGGATGTCGTTGAGAATGTAGCTGAATGCTCGGCCAGCTGGTTAAGGTTGACCACCGGAGACCGCAAGACTCTTACAGCTAGTTCAAATACCATAATGGAAGTGGGATGAGATAGCCATGGACTGTCTCTTGGTTGCGGAAGAGTGAGAGGCAACATGTCACCATTTGGTTCAGAAGCTTTAGCAAAAAGCAAAAACGTACCTGATCAATAAACATGGCTCGTATTAGTAGCCAACTATATTTATAATTCCATCCAAACATTCCCTAATTGCTCTCTTCAATATATAGGAGTCTAAATAAGTGTACAATCACTGTTTTCCAGAACATCCATCTAACGGCTTTGTACTTTGAGGTAATCATTCTCATCTCCTCTTCCTAGAAACTACTTAAACAAAGGGCTGAGCAAGACTTCAAGGATCTTAATGAAGCTTAATCTGACATCAGGGATATCTTACAATTTCTTGAGGAGGATGGATCAATTTTTCTGATTAGATGAGTTCACCAGAAGAAAGGTTATTGAATATGGTGATTAAAGCACACAACCAATGCCTTTTTCAAGCTATTGTCAACTCTTTCCAATATCCGGAAAAAAAGCAAAATGATATGACTATCTGTATACCAAGAATTTTTCTTTTGCTCTTCTTCTTCTTGAGAGAGAAACCGAGAAGTTAGCAACAAAGGAAAACTATATTGCCAAGTGAACAAGAGATCCGTCCTAGAATACCTTTCAGCTGGCAGCTTGAGGCCAGCTTCCTGAGCTTTTTAGTAATGAAACTATTTCTAAGTGCAATATTACCCACTAAAAGACTTTAAATCAGGAGCTCGTCCACTCAACATTCCAGTTTAAAGTTTGATGAAGCGAACGTCTTTTCACTTGTCAAATAAAATGCTACCCAACAGGCAAGTTCATGCTTTCCTCCCAACCAACAAAGAAGCAAGCATCTTTAGATCTTTGACTCCCAAATAAGGAAGCAAAAATGGGAAGAGCTAAAGAAAACCAAAGGCCATATTCATATGGGATGATAATAGTTGGAAAGAGTGCCTCAGATGAAAAATGAACTATAGCAAGAGATGTTATCCAAAGTTGATGCCTTTGGAATTCTCACAGTGAGAAACTTACTTGCACCTTTGGGCTCAGCGGTATGGACCATGTTAGTTAGAAAGTCACCATTCAGAACACTTATTTACAAGTATTAAACAGTAAATTCATCTTAACGTTACGGATAAGTTCGTGTAAATGTAATATGTACTAAGCTTAAGAGGCAAAACAAATTTTCCTTTAGTGAATTGATTGAACACTTTTTGTTTGTTGAATTACTAACTTACATATTGCAATCAGAAGATTGCCTTACTGTTCTCCAAATTCTCTTCAAACATCTATGTAAAATCTCTACCCCTAGAAATACTACACTAATTAAGCATCATCTAAGAGACAACATTTTCATGTATACCACGTCTAGAGTGCTTTTCTTTTTATGAAGTAAGGTGTTATCATTAAGAAGGCATCAAGAAGATGCATAAGGAAACAAAGGGTTACAAAGAGGTGACTGTTAGCTCTATTAATACAAAAAACTCTGTTAGCTCTATTAATACAAAAAACTATGCTAGGATCACAGCCAAAAATGAAAAAAAATGGAGGAATCTCATAAATTAAATTAATTTCTTCCAAAGCCTAACAAGATTCGCAGCTGAAATCAACTGTTACCAGATAGTCCCATCACTATTCTAAAACCTGCTGCATGATTCAATTCTTCATCTTTCTTATTTTCCAATAGAACACTTAAAACATTGCAAGGGGGTCCTATGATCCCCCCCCCCTATACTTGTTTGAACTGGAATTATTACCCTTTTTATGCTTATGTGGCATGGAGAACAATTTGCACTTACATGTAGCGCGCGAGAGGACAAAATAAGCCAAAAATCATTGTATTTTCCTTTCTTTAGAATTAAAATATACTTTTTATTTTATTTCTCTCCTTCATGTCCTGTATTACCATCATCACTTCCTTAGCTGTTGGATTGATTATAATTTTCTCTCTTCTTTTTTGTTTTACTTTTCCTTTTGGTTAATTAGTATTTTACCTTTCCTAACATTGCAGTTTCTAATCTTGATCTTCGGACTAGCCATACAGGAATCTCCTTCTCACGCTTCGATTTCTTGAAGCCAAGAAGCAAACAACGGCCCAGTGTATTCCCACAAGTGGGGCTTGAAGCCAAGAAGAAGACACAAAAATTGGGGACTGATTTGAGTATCAAAATCAAAGATTGAGGCTTCGAGTTGGAGTCGAATGAAAACTTTTACTAAAACTGATGAATTGGGATGTGATTTGGTGATGGGTTTAGTTGGAGAACAAGGAGAAAGGGGTTTCTTGGGGNTAGAGGTTGTAGGAGAAGAAGAAAGGGAAAAAGAAAAATGACAAAAAAGAAAGAAAAGGGATATAAAAGGTAAAATGAAAAAATAGTGAACAAAAAGAAAATACAAAATTGTATTAAAAAGGAAAGTGACGTGGGCATCACATGATTGGTGCGTGTGTTACAGATATCTTTGTGAAACTGGTGCTGGTTGATAAAGGGGGTATTTACACCACTTTAAACGATTATAAGGGGTCATAGGACCCCCACAAAGCTCGAGCATTCTATTGGAAAAACAGGCCAAATCCGGGGGGAAATATGTATTATCCCAATATTAAATTGGAAAACGTTTCTTATGCGAGGTATACCTGCTCTAGAGTCACAGTCTGATGATCAATCCAATCCTCAGGAAGTACAACTTGGTGAACTTGAGAAACATAAGCAAGAACCTGCAGTATGGAATATGAGAGCTCAATATGTTCTTCCCAGTAAAGAAAGGAGACATTGACAGATATTAATGGGCTATTAATCCCAAAAGTTAGCTGAAACTAAAGGTCTGGATCTTTTGTTCAGAAGAAAAAGGGTGTGGGGGAGGATTGAATGGATTGAAAAGTGTTTAATATTGCCAGTATATACTCCAAATGAGCGCTAGAGAGACTTTTTGCACATTGCTCCGATACAATAGCATATACCGGTTTTTAATATAGGATCTTAAACCAACAGAGTAACATACCTCAGTTCCAGAATAAAGTTTGAGAATTTTCTTAGCAACGGCTCCAGCAGCAACTCTCCCAATGGTTTCTCTTGCTGATGATCTACCACCCCCCTAAAGGAAGTTGCCAGTAGTAAGAATTTAATAAAAATAAGAGCTAGGACTAAGAAAACTAAACATATTAGGATCTCTAAAGATATTTTATAATTATAGATTTATCTGGTAGTTACCTGTACGGATCTTACTCCATACTTGAAGTCATAAGTAGCATCTGCATGAGATGGCCTATAAGCCTGGGACATTTCACTGTAGTCCTGGTAATTCAACAGACCATAATGTATCCAATAAGTACAGGAGAACAGAAAATTTGGCAGCAATTTACACAAGCACCACCACAATGGACATACTAAATGTATCTCAGAGCTCTGAAAATTTGCCTTTTTTCTCCTTCAAGTATTCTTGGATTTATCAGGATATTGTGGGTAATTTATATACTTCAGGTTTTAACTTGAAAATATTTATAATTTTTTTTAATAAGCCCCAGATGGCATTTTCATATCCTTTAAACTCTCATTTATACACAAACTCCACCACTGAATGCAGGCAACAGGCACTTGACTTATCACCACGATGTCTTTGCACTGTGCCCGTTAAAAATGAATTAGTCTAGTCAAGAGTAGGAATAACTCATCCCTTAACATACTCAGCTATATGAACTGCCAAGCAAGATAAGCATAAGTTTAACATAGATACTTGTGTTCACCATAAAGAGTTGAATTAACTCATCCCTTAACATATTCAGCTATAATCTACATCATTTAAAAACTAAATTTACTATTTCACTTTCCTGTTGTATTTGATACAGAGAAAGTGTCAAGAAGGTAAAGACCATACTCACATTTCCTCTCTGATCAGTGTTAGGTACTTCAACCTTGATTGGGGATCCAGTAGTCATCCCTGCAGTTAATGCATGCACAAGACTGAGTTCAAAAGAATTATAAACACCGGCTTATTCCACGAGAGACAAGTGGTAGAAGACATAGGTTACAAGAACTTGAACAGAAAACCAACCATCGGCAATGCCTGATGATATTTTGCAAGTGTCAGTCTCTTTCCTAGGTGTGGTAATTCGGCTTTGACCTGGCCTCCTGAATAACAAAGTTTTGTAAGCAATCTAAAACAAACCATAAAATAATGAAACCTTAGTTATCCCATAGACTACTTGTTGAATTAGCCTTTTTCTAGATTAGGGTACCAAAAGTGTCAAAGTTTATATTTAATATAGCTATCGTGCTGATGCTGGTCACATTAATCCTCATAGAAATTTAGCTGGAGATAAGGAAGGAAATACCTCCTGTCAAGTTCCACCTGCATATCAGATTCAGAAAGTGGGAGACGAGGGGGGCATCCATCAATAACACAACCAACTCCACCACCATGTGATTCTCCGAAAGTTGTAACACGGAAGTAATTTCCATATGTACTACCAGCAGCCTGTATTTCTGTGGGTACACAAGCCGAGAGAATAAGTTTCTAGCCAACTTTTACCATTTAATAGCAAGCCAGTGAAGGACGGCAAAGGGTTTTTTAGTTTGTATTTCCACATGACAAAGGACCTAAGTTGCTCGGACTCAGGTGCAAGTATTCGATACGGGGACGGATCCGAGTATCGGATTCGGTAAAATCTAAATTTTAAGATACAGGGGTGCGGATCCAGATATGGATACGGGTGCGAGGATTCGGCTAATAAAAAATAGAGCTATAAAAATATTGTAAATTTTGAGAGATATTCTATAAAAAAAAAACTTATATGAATATTGTAGAATTCAATCTTTCATTCTCCTAAATCTATTTTATTTTTGATTTTGAGAAATCAAAATCTCAATTTTTCTCCCAAATTTGTCGATGGACTCCTGTCAAAGTGTCTGAAGTCAATTGACCGTATTCAGGACATATCCCGCTCCCACTCCCGTCCCCATCTCGTATCGGGACGGGGACGGCACCAAAATCGAAGAGTCCGCGCAACTTAGCAAAGGACAACACTACTGAAGAATGTTGGTTCTACCAGTGTTTCGAGATGCACCTTATCAACTTGCAGTAACAAGAATATAATATTATCTAGATAACATAGACAAATATTAGCAAATAATGCCTTAGTCAGATAGTAGACATACTTATAGGCCTCTTGATGGTCATTCAAGTGCAAGTCTTGGACACTGAGATTAAATCCCGAGTTATTGCGAAGTAAAAAACCAATGAGATTATGGAAGCACATATTCTTGCACTTATTGCTACTGCACTATTTATTCTAGTTCCTACCGCTTTTTTACTTAACAATTACATAAAAACAGTCAGTCACAATGATTAATTATTAACTAATTTGAATGAAACTTAAGTTCTGAGTTCTTAGCAAAACTTGACGAAATAAAATGAAAAAGATTCCAATTTCATGTGCAATATAAACAGAGAGAACTTTTCTCATGAATCCTATCATTTTTCACTTTACCTTCTCTTTGCACGACTAAATTGAATAAATGAGACAAGGAGGCATGGTGCCAAATAAGGCACAGCACAACTACTAGTCAGACCAGGAACGTGACAAATCTTTCAACAAGATGGTGAGAGTAGAAGAGCCCATACAATTATATGTGAAATACTCTACTTGAGATTGCAGGAACTAGAGTTTTTAAGTTGGCACCCAGACGACCTTACCACTTCACCTAGTCAATTGGCAAATAAAGGTCTAGATATATGTATGTCTATTAAAGCACTATGATACTAGCCTGAGTCAGGAATTCGCTTCTGCTGAATCCACCAACTAAAGGTTAAACGACCAAAAAGTAGGGTCAACCATATACAAGTGCAGACAGTTATTAGAATCGATATCTTTCTCCTTAGAGTTTTATTTTGTGTCAGCATTGAGGTAAGATAAATAAATAGCTATACGTAAAAGTGATTTTCTTTTTTCATGAAATAATATTGTTTTCTTCATTTGCTTGATCAATAAGAACAATAAACTTAATCAAATTAACATTTTCGGCCTCATAACTAAGATTATAAAAGTCAATTTAGACGATAAGATCATTAAATAAACCGAACCACAACTGCAACATAACTAAGAGTATACACATAAATCAAGTATATTGCTCTCGATGATAAATAGCAACAGAGAGCTTAATCAATCAAATTAAAAAAATGTATTAAGCTCAATAAAGAACAAAAAATCTATAAGTAAAAGGAATCCTAAATATTTGTACAATTTGAGAAGGATTTCTAAATTTATACCTAGCCGTTTGGGGTGTGAAGGACGAGATAGGATATGAAGATTGGAGAATGAGAGCTTAGAAGGCAGCTGAAGAGATCCAAGGCGGGAGGATCCGACATCGGAGGAAGACGGAGCTCCGAGAAATTGTTTGGTAGGTACAAAAGACGCCATTCTCCGTCGTCGTCGCTTTGACCTACGTCTTTTCAAAATTTGGTGGGCGAAAATTGTTAGGTTTAGATTATATATAGATATTTGTAGCCTCCCATATATATATATATGGGGGGGAATGGCTGCTAGGCAATATATTTGGAGAGTTTGGCTGTTTGGGTAGGTGAGAGAGGAATGGTGGTGTTGGGTGATGTGGGGACTACGTAGTCCTTGCTACCTACCAATCACCCTTTGCAAATTGTGGTGCTAGTGTGCTACTACGAACAACTCATTTTTCGTTAATTTTTTCTATTTTTGGTAACACTCAAAACTAGAATGTATAACTTAAAACTAGGTGGCGATGGCCCGCGCTTAGCACGGCCCAACATTGCAACAGTTTTCCTTTTTTTTTAATATAAAGATGATATTACTAAAAGAAAATTACATCATCATTACATAGTCCCTGAGGACATTAACATTGTCTAACTTGGCAAGCTTGTTACAAACACTAGATATAACGACTTGCCCGGTCGTTTTAAGAATTTACGCTCCGATTCCTTATTTACTACATTCCCCGTGTTCGTTTCTACTATTGTGAGTTGCCGGGAGGAGTTATTTGGAGTTTCGGAGAGTTTTGGGATATTTAGTCCCTAAATGAGAGCCTAAGTTTTAGAATTTGGACCGTAATCGGAACGGTGTGAAGACGACCTCGGAATGGAATTTTGTTGGTTCCATTAGCTCCGTTGGGTATTTCGGGTTTAGAAGCGTGTTCGGATTGTGTTTTGGAGGTCCGTAGTTAACTTAGGCTTGAAATGCCGAAAGTTAAATTTTTGAAGTTTCTAATTCGATAGTGAAATTTTGATCCGAGGGTTAGAATGGAATTCCGGAAGTTGGATTAGCTCCGTGGTGTTGAATGTGACGTGTGTGCAAACTTTTAGGTCATTCGGACGAGGTTTGATAGACTTTTTGATCGAAAGCGTATTTTGAGAGTTTTGAAGTTCTTAGACTTGAATCCGAGGCTAATTGGTTGATTCGATGTTGTTTGAGGTGTTTTGGAGATTTGTATAAGTTTGGATAGTGGTATGTGACGTGTATGCACTTTTGGTTGAGGTCTCGGGGGCCTCGGGATGATTTCGGGTGGTTAACGGGAAGTTGAAAATTTGGAATTTGCAGCTGAAACTTTTTGGGCTGCTGTCATAACCGCATCTGCGGTTGAGAGGCCACATATGCGACTCCCGCAGATGCGGAGTCAAGAAGCAGAAGCGGCCAAGAGGAAATGGAGCAAGGACCGCAGAAGCGATGGGTTACCGCACCTGCGAGACCGCAGATGCGGCACCTGGGTCGCAGGTGCGGAGATGAAATTTTAAGTGAGAACCGCAGAAGCGGTATCGCAGATGCGATTGGTGGACCGCAGGAGTGGGTTTGCTGGGCAGAAAAATCATAAATTTGAGGGTTTAGTTTTAAAAGTTGGAAAATCGATTTGGAGCTCGGGAGAGGACGATTTTGGGAGGATTTTGAAGAGGAAATCAGTGGGTAACGATTCCTAATCCCTTTCTAGTTGTATTCTTATAATCTAATCTTAGTTTTGTCATTTAATTTCAGATTGGAGATGAAAAATTGGAAGAAAGTGCTTAGACCGAGATTTCGAGTTTTGATTTGGAATTTGGCATTGGATTTGGAAAATTTTAGTATGCATGAACTCGTGAGAGTATGAGGATTCTGAAAATATAAAGTTTACCCGATTCCGAGACGTGGGCCTGAGGGGCGTTTTGGTCATTTTACCTAATTTCGCGTATTAGCTTAGAATTTCTTTGTAGAATCAGTTACTTGAAGTGTTATTTACATTATACAATTGAATTGAATAGATTTGGACCATTTGTAGTCGAGTACTCGTGGCAAGAACGTGGTTTCAGGTTGACTTTGAGCTAGTTCGAGGTAAGTAGCTTGCCTGACCTTGTGTGGGGACTTCCCTTAGGATTTGATATTATTGATATTTGAAACGCCTTTTATGTGAGGTGACGAGTGCGTACTTGTGCTAATTGTTGAAAATTCGGTTTTCACTAAGTAATTAAAATTGTGTTTCTCCTCCTGTTATTACTACTTGCAATTTCAGCCTGTTGTTAGCTTAGGGAAGTATGTCTAAGTGATTTAATTGTTTTATTTGCTCAAACTGCTTTACCTGAATTCTGTGCAGCATGCTAAGCTAGAATTACCTGTTTGCCTTAATATGAAATTGACATTTGCTGAATATTTTTCATGTTGCTACTGTGTATTTATATTTGGGACTACGGATGTGGGGTTCCGGTAGATCCCCCTTATCTGTTTATTTGGGACTACGGATGTGGGGTTCCGGTAGATCCCCCTTATCTGTTTATTTGGGACTACGGATGTGGGATTCCGGTAGATCCCCCTGCACAGTTACAGGAAACTATGGGACTGCACCCGGTAGATTCTCCCAGTACTGCGTATTTACATTTGGGACTACGGATCGGGATTCCGGTAGATCCCTGCGCACTATGAGTTGGACTTCGAGACGGTATCCCGGGAGATCTATTGGATATGTATATTTGGGACTACAGGACGGTATACTGGAAGATCCCCGGTTGTTATCTCTGAGTTGAGTTGTACTCTTTTTCCGTGATTATTTGCCTCTATTGTAGTTACTGTTGTTCCTTTTATTCTGTGTTATTTCTTATTGTTGCATTTAGTTATATTGTCTCATTTTATACTGTTTTACCTTATATTCATTTAATCTCAGTAGGACCCTGACTTTCCCCGTCACTACCTGGCACTTACTGAGTACTGCTGTGGTGTACTCATGCCCTTTCTGCGCATGTTTCATGTGCAGATCCAGGTACTTCGACTCAGTCTTATCACTCTTGAGGCAAGGCGACTTTCCTAGAGACTTCGAGGTATATTTGCCGCGTCCGCAGACCGAGGAGTCCCTTTCTATTCTCTTTTTAAGTATTAGCTTTTATGTGCTTACTTTTGTTAGACATTCAAAGGCTTGTGGTTTCATGAGATTCCGGGTTTTGGAAAATATTGTCAGTTTTGAGAGTTGTATTATATATGTCGAGCGGCATCTTAAATACTGTTCCATTTGGTTATTTTGGTTTTTAATTATTTCTTCCGCAAATTGTTATTTTCCACATTTGTTAGGCTTACCTAGTCGTAGAGACTAGGTGTCGTTACGACAGCTCACAGAGGGTCAACTGGGGTCGTGACAAGTTGGAATCAGAGCTCTAGGTTCATAGGAGTCATGAATCACAAGCCGGTTTATTAGAGTTTTGCTGATTGGTACAGAGACGCTTGTACTTATCTACGAGGGCTATGTAACTGTTAGGAAAATTCCACTTCATTTGATTTCCTTATCGTGCGAGATTTTTGGTATCACAATTCTAAACTTCTGTCTTCTATTCTCTCACAGATGGTGAGGACATGTGCTACCCGAGNGCCAGTAGTTCCATCTAGATTCTAGGCACCTGATACACCTACTGCTACTACTACTCCAGCTCTTCAGGAGACTTTGGCGCAGTCCATGAGCATGTACACCACTTTGGCTCAGGCAGGGTTTCTTTCCCTTATTGCAACCATATCTCAGGCCGGGGGAGGAGCACAGACTCTCGCCGCCCACACTCTTGAGCAGTGAGTGCATGTTGATCAGGTCCCAGAGATTATTCATGTACCACCTGCAGTCCCAAGTTAGCCTGAGGATAGGGCAGCGACTTCAGAGGATGAGCAGCGGAGGCTTGAGAGGTTCAAGAAGTATGATCCTCCTATATTCAGTGGGTTAGCATCAGATGATGCTCTGGCGATTTCTAAATGAGTTCTACCATATTCTCCGTGCCATGTGATATCAGGATCGAGCGGGGTTTCCTTCACTGCTTTCCAGCTTCGAGGAACTGCCTATGAGTGGTAGCGCACCTATGAGTTAGACAGTCCGGATGAGGCTGCTTCACTGACTTGGACTTAGTTCTTGGATATGTTCCTGAGGGAGTATGTTCCTCAGAGCCTTAGGGACGCATGGCGCGTAGAGTTTGAGCATTTGCGCTAGGGTACTATGACTGTCTCGGAGTATGTTGTCCGTTACACCAATTTGGCTAGACATGCACCAACCTTGGTCTCCATTATTCACGAGAAGGCCGATTTATTGAGGGGCTTATTCCCAGCATCAGGTCTAGCATGACTCGTGAATTGGAGATAGATATTTATTATCAGCAGGTGGCGAGCATTGCTAGGAGGATTGAGGGTATGCATGCTAGGGATATGGAGGAGAGGGAGGCCAAGAGGTCTCGAGAGTCGGGCCATTATTCTAGTGCCCGTGCCCCGGCTACAGATCGTCATGGTAGGGGTTATATGAGTCACCCCGTTCATTCAGCTCTTCCAAGTATTCCAGCTCCTCCTAGGCCTTAGGAGCCTTATTATGCACCTCTAGTATCTAGTGTGCCTCCTGTGCGGGGTGCTTTTAGTGGTCAGTCTAGCATATTTGGCCCGAGCCAGTCACAGCCACCACGTCCTCCCATATCTTGTTTTGAGTGTGGTGATACACGCCATATGGAGAGGGATTGCCCTAGACCTAGGAGGGGTGCACCTCCACAGACTTCTCAGCCACAGCGTACCCCACAGAGTTCTCAAGCTATGGTTACAGCTCCAGTTGCTACCCCACCTACTCAGCCAGCTAGAGATGGAGGTCGGGGAGGTAGAGGTCTCCCTAGAGGGGGATGTCAAGCCAGATATTATGTCCTTCCTGCCCGTACCGAGGTTGTTGCCTCCGATTCTATCATCACAGGTATTGTCCTGGTTTGTCATAGAGATGCATCAGTTTTATTCGATCCAGGCTCCACCTATTCTTATGTGTCTTCTTATTTTTCTATATATTTGGGTGTATCTCGGGATTCTTTGAGTACCCCTGTTTATGTTTCTACTCTTGTGGGAGATTTTTTTGTTATGGACCGCGTTTATCGGTCGTGTTTGATTGCTCTTAGTGGTTTTGAGACCAGAGCCAATTTGTTATGCTCAGCATGGTAGATTTTGATGTTATCTTGGGCATGGACTGGTTGTCGCCCCATTATGCTATTCTTGATTGTCACGCCAAAATCGTGATGCTAGCTAT